TTTGCTATGTCTCCCTTTTTTTAAACTAAACCCAAATGAAGAAGAGATTATCACTTTTTTCTTTTCTTTTAAAATATTCCCTCTGTCCCTCAATCCTGATGAAGTCAGTGTATTCATTTTTGTTACACAAAGCATAATAATGCATATTCTTTATTGTTTTTGAGAAAACTGCAGTATCAAAACACTGTGGTGCATAATGAATTTATATAAAAAGCTCTGAATTGAATTGAAAGAAAATATGCTATAAGCATTTCCTGATAGTAAATGCAATTTCTTCTGGTCTTTCAGTATTGATCCTATGTGTTTTAATAGTTTTTTTTCAAGTAAAAAACAGTCTCATTTGCATGCAAATTATATAATGCTTCCAAATGATACATGTGTAGATCCTTCTCTGCCTGTTTTCTGCTGATTATTGATGTCTGTTTAAGGCTTGTTTTTGTTCCCTGTGTTAGCAGTGTAGTATTTATTGACATTTTGATGTAGGAAACCACAAAACAGCCTATCCAGTTAGATTAATTTATTTCTATGGAAGTGCTCAGGAAAAAAGATTCTATGAACAAAGGCATGAGCAGACATTTATCTCATTAAAAAATTCAGAAACAGTCTAGTTTTAGACTTGCTTCCTCTGTGACGTCTGTGAGAAACTAGCCAACTGATTCATCTTATTATTTCAGCATCTAAAAAAATTGTTAAGGTAGCTTGCATCATTCAATGCCCTGGAGTAACTTTGTCATTTTAATGAAGCCAGCCTCCCTTCAGTTCTGATCCTTTCTCATGTACACCATACGGTGTGTAGTTACGAGCTTGCCAGGTCTGCATCTCATATCTGTTTTGTGTGCAGGCTACTACACCCTAGTTTTGTGAAATAAAAGTGATCAATAATTTTTTATAAAATGTCAATATTCTATGAATATTCTACCTTTAATGTCACTGGTAGATGTAATGATCATTAATACATGTTTTCAGCTTTAAAAAAAGTTATGCAGGAACAAAGTGTTCACATAACTAAACATTTAAGATACTGTACATATACTACTGTATATATACTACAAACTCTCATTTATTACTGTACGAACACAATGGCGTGCAGTTTTGTAACACAAGTTTTATAACACCACTTGGTGTAACTTACTACACTATGCTGTATTTCCCTGCCAGTTTTTGTCAAGTATTGGAAAACATTTTTGTAATCATGTTTATACATTAGATAATAAATAAACACAGTAAGGCAGGATAAATGATTAAATAGAATGGAAGGACAAAGAGATGAAGCAACTCAGAGCTGGACTCCTGAAGTCCTGCCGACAACCCAGTCTCCATACTATGTATCAGGAAGGTTGCAGGCAGGCTTGCTCTCAAGCCACCGCACAGAGTTGTGATAGCAGCATTTGGCCCTATCCTTTCACTGGTAGTGAACAGTATGAATGGCAATGGGGAACCGTGGTTACACTGCTGTTCTGGAAGGTGGAAGAGGAGAGTTAGGGAACTGCAGCTCTTCCGTGAGTATAAGTTTACTGATGGTAAAATTGACACAGGGTGACTTTTTGTTGGCAGGTGGTGAAACCAAGTTGGCACTGAACCTGTTCTTGCCTTTCATCTTTAGAGGTGTCCACTTTAGCGCAGTCAGAGCACATTAGTGAAGCAGTGCAGAAGACTTGCTCTGCTGCTCCCAAAGATAAGTGGAACACTTTGGACTTCAGGTGTGACTCTTTTAATTTATCATTAAAACTTATTTCAGGTGTTAAGACTAGAAGATATATACTCTTTGATACAGTTTATCTAATGTCTTAATATTTATCTTTGTGACGTGTACTATATACCTTTTGGTACTCTCATCTGAAGAGAACACGGTTCCTCTTTTTCTCAGGTGCTACTGCTACTAGTGGTAGCAGCAGCAAGTCATGATCATGACAGCAACATCTCAAAACTTCCCAAATCAGGACCCCACCTTCATATACTCCATCATGTTTCCCCCAAATTAAGAGTTCAGCAGCAGTTGGCCTTGCCCTCATTAGGACTTCAGTCCCAGCCTCCTCCTTACCAAACTCTGGCATGATGTTCTGCGACGGGTTTCCCTAGATGACCGCTCAGTAAGCCATGGTCTCAGTCCTACACCCACAATGGCCCTGGACTCATCTCTCTGTATGCACTTGCTACTTTAACATACCCTGTCTTTTTGTAGCATAGCTGTGCTCAAAGTTTGGTTTGAGCTTGCAAAACAAGTAAAATGTGCCAGCTGTGTTGACACTGCCTGTAGTGGCACAGCTCAAGTGTGAGAATATACTTTACAGATATATAATAAAATTAATTTTAAAAAGGAATATTTAACAGCTTTGCATTCTAGGCATAATAACTAGCTTTATATATTGATTTTAAGTACAAAGCCTAAAAATGTAGAAAATCCTTAATGAAGTTACTTAAATGGAAATGCATGTTGTAGTAATTGTTTCCATTGAACCAGAGTTGAAGATAGTAAAAATAATAATCCTGGACAACACAGGAAGGGAAAATATTACTGTCATATGTAGTGACATATCAAACTGAACAAAAATACTTGGAAAACCATTTTGTCTTCGAGTTAGTGAGAAAAATCCCCACTACTAGTTTGTAATTATTCCTTTAGAGGGGAAAAAAGGAATGGCTAGATGCAATTGCCTGGGTAACAGACATCTAGCGCCACTTAAGATGCTGTAGGGTATCTAGGCTGGTCTTTGAGTGCTGCTTCAGAAAAACATGGGTCTACTGCATTGACTGTGTCACCTCTGCTGTCTGCATGTTTATGTGTCAGGGACATCTCCAATATAACTAGATTTCTGTGTTTTGCTGCTGAAATGAGTTTACAGTATCTTTACTGACTGTTTTTAGCAGCTCTAACAATCGCTGGCATATCAGAACAGTATCATTCATCTGGAATTGCAAAAATATTCACTCATATGTACAATTTCTATTTAACTAATACTCCTTAACATTGGAATAAATGAGAATCGGGGATGATAAAGTGCCTTACCGGTCACCACAGGCAAAATAGTTGAAAGTTCTCCCGGAACAGTTGCGTAAAGGAATTGCTTGTTCAGCCAGGATTAAGATTTCAATGGATTTTAATAGTGTCTAAGAATATCCTCTGAAAGTACACCCAGGTAGCTGGTTTGTGTTTCCAGGTGATGGACAGGGGCTCATGTTGTGCAGTAGACCAGCATCTGTAAGCAAAAGGTCCAGTTACATCTACAAATACATTTCTTAAACATTGGCATTTTCTTGGGAATCTCTAGCATCTGGTTTAACTTTAAGAATTTTATGCTCAGTCTTTTAATATGCCTTTAGTGAATTTGAACCTCTCAAACCAAAGTCTTGTTACCCATTGTTGGTTATATTGTCAGATCTTGACACTGCTCTTTTTATTCATAACTGGATTCTGGCATAGCGTTCACTTTGGATAAACACTTCTGTGTACGTTATCCTGCCTCACAGACAGTGCATTGCACGGTGTCTGCTGTCACCGAGTACTTCCTGTTGTTTGAATGCTACATCTTCTGGCTGTTCCAAGTCAGCTGTCCTGGGAGAGAGAGGTAAAGATACTTGTTACAAAAACCAGTTTCATGTTAGTGATGATTACTGAAGATTGCACTATGGAAGTGGTGGTGGAACAGAAAGGAGAAACATTTTTTTTTTTTAATCTCTCCATTATCGCTAGTTTGGAGAAGGCTGGAATGAGATCCCAGAATTAATTTCTCACTGAAGAAACTTTTGTGGAACCTCAACCATATGCTAATTTTAAGGGGTACTGTATTATCTTCTGGCCCTTAAAGGAAACTCTAGCATTAACCCATCTTCATGAACTTTTCTTGGCGGGGCTTTTAGAGTGGGTGGATGGAAGGAGTGGTAAAATGAAGAAAGAACTAGAGTCTACAATGAAGTAAACTTGTATATTGACTATACAGAAGAAAAGATAGGATGTAAATGATTTGCTTTAATTACACCATAATTTCATTAATGTAAATGTAACGTAAATGCAGACCTTCTATCAGTAGTTCTCCCCCTCTAAATGAGACTTCAGTTCACTCTTGGCATTTCCTCTGATGCTCCCTCTTAAGAGAATGATCCAGTTGTAAAAAAACAACCAGGGCTTGTTTTCTCATGACATCAGGCACTGGGTGCTTGCTAATATCCGTTCCTTAGATTTTTATGATGGAAAGAAATCTTGCTAGCTCTCATGTATCAGGAAACTGTTCCTTTTCTGATGTGCACTGAATATTGAGAATCTGTGAAGTTGTAAATTGTACGTAACTTCTTTAATAATTTCTGTAGTTTGCTGTTTAGGGAAACAGGAAAATAAGTGTTTGCCCTTATCAGTATGTGGTTGAGGGAAAAAGAGTTCAAAAAAGAATTCAGTAGTGTAATATCTACAGGTAGCTACACAGGAAGCCTTCTCCTCTTCTCATCACGGATCACTGGGACAATTGGCACTACTGATCTGGTGTGAAGGACAGGCATATCCAAAGAGATGGTGTGCACAGATGTGTAAAATAAGCTTTTCATTCCATGTTTCATAAAGAATTGATAATCTAACTGGCACTTTCTGGTCAGATCTCCAACAAGGGTTACAACTCAGCTACTACCCCATTGACCTGGAAATGGAGAAAGTATTTCCAAGTACATAATGCAGACACAGTAGTTTTCGAAAGCAGATTTGTTAAGCCACTAAAAATCCTACAGCCACCTCAGACTGGAGATGCTTTTAACTATTTTGCCAGCTGAAAAGAAAAGTTTTATCTTTGCATAATCAACAATTTTGCTGACTTTCTTTCCAGTGTCTGACATAATACTGTATAACATGCTGATACGTTTAAATAATGTCAGTTTTATTCAATATATTTATGTGTTCTAACTAGGTAAAGAAAAATTATTTTATATTTTTTCTCTTGTATTTTTGAATTTTTCCTTCTGTGGTATGTGACTATCTTTTTTTTTTTTTTTTCCCCTTCTTTTTTTTTTTCCTTCAGAACTACTATGGAGCTGCCAAAATTATTCTTTCTGACAATCCACTTGGCCTGACATGCGGAATGGTGTGTCCAACATCAGATCTCTGTGTTGGTGGCTGCAATTTGTATGCCACTGAGGAGGGACCAATTAATATTGGTGGATTGCAGCAGTTTGCTACTGAGGTAGGTAGGACTTGCAAACGTCTTAAATTCTTTGTATGTACCAATGAGTAGTGTCTAAGTGGTTGCCTTTGTTAATGATTTGTTTAAAAAAAAAGTTGGTACTAATAAAACAAAGATGTAGGAAGTTAGAATAATTATCCTTTTTCTTACAGCACATTCAGAAGCTTAGAAATGCTTTCTTAATGTAATACATTATAGGAAGATAAGGAACATTATTTGTGAACAAGGTGACTCTTTAGAAACTCTAGTAGTTGAGACAATTTGTTTTACAATGAAAGATTTATCTAAGCAAGGTGAAACTGTGGATGTTACTGAAGTAGGCTGCATAGGGAAAAAGGTCAAGTGCACCTGCATCTGTAACTGCATGTTAAGGAGAAGTAGAACTCTTCTGGGCATAGGGTAGATCCTATGGCAGAATTAATGTACATTTATACGGGCTTTGGGACAAAGGAAAAGTTTCAGATGAGTTAGAATTTTTACTGTCCTGTTTGGCCAAAACTAAGTAAATAAGTAGTTTCAAGTTGACCTGAAATATATGTCTATGTACATCTATGCAGATAGATACAGATGCACACATATGTGTGTGTGAATTTATTAGTTCATAAAGGTATGTGTATATTTTGGCTACTGAATTAAAGGTTGTTACTTGCTACTTGATGTTAGGAAGTCTTCTCAAGGGTTTCTGTTGCGATGCATATGCATTATTTGTGACTGTATAATTTCAGTGCTCCAATTTCCATGTGAAGAAAGATGGAGGCTACTGCTCATTTGTTAACTTCCTTTGAGGGACTGGAGAATTGTGCCAAACTCATGGTCTCAGCTGGCACCTCATCTGATCTGTCTTGAAGTGTCTTTGGGTAAAAATTATGATTTTGGTCTCTGTAAAAGTGAGGAAGTTGTGGTTGTATAAAACCAGGCATATGCCCGTGTTAAGATTGCACATTTCTGTGCAGTCCTTAACTAACAAGCATATACCTCTTCTGTATCTTGAGCCATTTGACTGATCATATTTACAAACATATGATGAAAGTCCAGTCACCTTTACAAAGCCTGAGAAAAAAAACCTTTGTAGGACAGACCAAAATAGAAATGTGAATAAATCTGGAAGTAATGGATGATATGTCTGTGATGTCAATTTTTTCCCTCTGCTGTCATTCATAGACTTCACATTCCCTTCTCAATGGCTGTGGGTCACGATTCAATGAGCAAATGTTGCTACATGGTGCAGTTCTCCTTTTATCTGTTTGTATTCCTCCTTTCTTCTCTCCAGAAGACTTGTAGAGCTTTTGGAGCATCTGCCTAACTTTTTTGCTAGCTATTGCTGAATCTTCTTTCCCCTCTGTCATTTAAGTAGCTATCCACTTCAATTTTCTTGATATTTGAACATACAAGTGTAAGAATTAGTACAGTTTGGACCAAAGTTCTCATTTACAGAATGAGGCTAGAGGAAAACTGTATTTGTTCTACATGTATATTCAAGAGTTGGGTTTTATCAGTCAAAAGGCAATTTTATTAACTTTTCTTCTAATGGCCTTTATTCCTTGTATGTGAAAACTTAGTATTTGTTGCAAAGCAGAAGACTTTTTTTTCTTAAAAAAACCCAACCAAACAAACAAAAAAACAAACCAAAGAACCCTAAACCCAAAAGAACAAAACACACACAAAAAGAAAAAAGAAAGATTAAACAGTTGTCAAGTAGATGAGAAATACAATGGTGAAATATTACAGTTTAGGAACCAAATGCAAGTAATAGCTGTTAAAACTTGATTTGTGTCTCCTTTTAGCCCTAATGCTATGATTAATAGAGAAGAATTATGGCTTGATAGATAATGCTAAATATCTGCCATTTTTCTTCAAAAATCTTTAGAAATCTATTAAAAAAGCTCAGTGCTAGCACAATGATTGATACGAAAACTGCAGAGAGGATGAATAGCTCTGAATGGCTTTGCTCCTAATGTTTCAAGTTTGTTTAAAGTGATATTAGTGTCAAGACTTCTAACAAAATAAAATTGTTATACAGTTCTGTTTAGCACTCTAACAAAAATAACGTTTCAGTAAATTTTATTATCCTTAATATTTTTATAGTATCCTAAGATGTTAAAATTAGTTGTTAATAACCTTTAGACTTAACTGCTGTTTAACAAAGAATTTGGATGTATTGTAGTACTCATAATTGGTAATAACAGGCAGTCACTTTTGTAATTAATACTTTCTTTAACCTTTCATTCAGTTAAATTTTACTGTGAAAGTATGTATAGTTGAAAAAAAAAAGAGTGCTTCCAAGTAACAATCATTACAAAAATATAGATTAAAATACTGAAGAAAATCATATGGTACCACTGCTCATACAAAAATTGGCCAAGGTACTGCAAGCAAAGTGTTTTCCCATCTCTACCTAAATGAGTAACTTAGCAAATTGTATAATTTAGGTGTGCCACGTGTTCCTCTTAATGAGAGCAGCATGGTAATTCTCATGCACTGTGTAACAGTTTGTCCCACAGGGGCTTATTTACTGAAAACTCCATTGTGGATAAAGCCAGTTTTAGACTTTTCCTTGGAATTAGTGTGAGGATCGTACACTTGATGCATTACAAGAATGAGTGATAGTAAAAAGGCACAAATGCTAGCTGAGATAAAAGATAAAATTGCAGTAAAGCAGGAAAAAGGTTTAAAATGGAAAATATGAGTGTGACATACGCCCCTTTGTGCTTCTGAACAATGACTGATCATCTGTTCATACTGCAGATAAAACTCCCTAATTGTAAAATATTTGTCTTGCATACTGTAGAACAAAAAAACCAGCATCTCATGCCTCCTGCATTTTCCTTCTACCCTTCCATATAGTTTTGTAACTACGTTTGACTTGTTCTCGAAGTAAATTGTAATCCAGTCTGAAAAAAGTGGATTTTTGACAATTAAATGTTCAAGTGGGAAAAAAGGAAATATCTGTTTGTATTTGTGATGTAGAATGTGTATACTGGGATGCAGTTACCACGGTAACTGTTGCATCTAGAGAATAACATGGAGTAAAAAAGCTCACTATTATAAATGATGAGTGTCAAGCACAGGTTACACCTGCTACTGCGCAGGTCAAAATTATATTAATGTCTTTATCTGTCTCCTTTGCCCAAGTACTTTAGAATCAGGAAATAATGTCTGGTTTTGGGACATAGTGCAGTGAAAATATACTGAGATTGCAGTGACAGTACATACAGGCATGAGCTGTGTGACTGTCAGTCCCACAAAATAAACTAAAATTACTGGTTATTCAAGTACAAATTTGTAATCTTGTAGTAAAGAGAAAGCGTGATCTATTACACTGTCTGTTGTAGTGTTAGTAAGAAGCCCTCAAAATCTTGTGTTTCTGGATAGACATTACTGAGTCTAAAGGTTCTCCTGTGTTTCTAGTTACTGGCTCTGAATAGAGCAGCACAAGCTAAATAGAAAATGTATTATTTTAATCACTGCATACTAGATTTAAATACTAGCTTGTTTAGTACTGTGACTCTTGTGCCAGCTGTAGTTCTGGTGATTTGTTCCTCTCTGGAGATATATTCTGACTGCTGTTGCAGCAGAAAGAAATCAGAAAAGAAAACTTGTATGCTTTTTTCCTAAAAGAAAGCTCTGTTTGTCAGTATTAATTTTTGTTTTAACATATCTTTAGGTTATTTTCTCTTTTAAGTCATGTTGAAATCTGTAATAATCAATTGTAAAATTTTAGGCTATTCTGAAGGGGATGGTGTAGCCTTCTACAATAGTTCAGGACATGAATCTGAGGACTTCTGATTTCTCAGGCCAATGCTGAAGGACTTGCTGATGTTTGGATAAGTTATATAAGACTTCTCTGCAGCAGGTTTTACAGACATTAAACATTCTTTGTTTTTTTTCAAGGTATTTACATGAATGTTGCTATGTCCTTTTTGGTGGTGAGATTCATGAAATGTTGAGGTATGGACTCTGCAATGTCCTAGACCCATGGGTTTTATTGGGACTGGGGTAGTATTAGCTTATAGTTGTTATGAAGGTTTGAAAAGTTTTTAATGAGACACTTTAGGCCTTGTTCTGTCAACACTCATCTACTTGCACAGAAGTTTGCAGTATTACAACTTCAACTGTTAAATTGTGGAGGGAGGATCAACAAGTTTCCATAACTAGCTCACGTTTGTGGAAAAACCACTTGCTGTACATCGTGTGCTATCCATTGCAATTAAATGAAGTTAATTGTGTGATTATGTAATTTGTCAACTTCAGGAAGATTACTGAGCATGCAATTTGCTTCATTTTTTATTAAAATCTATGCAGAATATTATTTTCTTCTTTAAATATTCAACTGCACCATATTAATGTAAACCATCCTACAGATAAATATCCATGGAAACCAGTGGGAAAGTGTGAAACTACTACAATCAGTTCACAAATGTACTGATTTCATTGCCTGTATTTTTCTTTCTGTGCACTAGCAAAATCTGATAACAGTTCAGAATATACTAATAAGTTTCACACTAAAATAAAGACCAGCTAGATACTAATGTCTGTGTCAGTAGCTGTTTGGCATCTCGTCAATGCCAAATAGTGGAGGATATTTAATGGCAAACCAGACTGATAAACTTGTTTCTATAGCCTTTTAAGCATGGAAGCAGCATTATGCCTCAAGAATACAAAGGACTTAGTTACGAAGTCAAAACTTATATTGCAGTGCTCCTTCCATTTTCCCATTTTTTGTTTTTCAGCCTTTTTCTGTTGATGAAGGCTTTGCGATGAAGGTGATAGATTAAACAGATGAGCTTTTTCCTTAAGAAATGTGACCTTCTGTGTATGTCTTGGAGACTACCAAATATACTTTTTAGCAGCCTATCTTGTTTCATAGGATTAGGCAAAAGCTTTTTTACATTATAACATTGAGGTTAAACTTTCAATCTATTTACGGTTTTATTTAACACATTTTTGTCCTGGCCCAAAGATAATTTTAAATAAAGGTGAATTAGAGGAAAACTGTCTGGCCGTATTTCAATTCTGCAAATAGGTGGGGAAGAGTATCTACAATATATACCTCTTAGAAAAATTCTGAGCAGAAAAATGAAAAGTGACTGAAGTGAATTACTTTAATTTATTCTGATTTATATAAAAATTGAGATAACGATTCTGAATAACAGTTCTAACCTGCTCTAATGATTTTAGATGTTTTAGATTCATTTAAATCATGCTTACTATGCCATAAAATTATTTTCATCAAATTAGCGAAATGCATTTCCCTGAGTCACCTGCCACTCTCTGCCAAATGTCGCATATTTTCTTCAAATCATGCTAATCCTAGAGTCATGTAGTAAAGAAAAAAAGCAGAATTTTATTACATGAGGAGAACAATAAGCTTTTCCCTGCCTACATTCTGAAAAACAGCTCAAATAAGTTGACTAAAACTTTCCAGGAAAATTAAACTTGAATCAGGTGCTCAGCAATCAAAACCATTGTAGTTTACTGAGGTGGGAGATATTGTGGAACCTTAATACAAACTTGTGTTTGCATACAATGCCTAGAATTATGCTCTTTGAGTGTCCCGAATGTTTTGGAGCAAGAGCCAAGCCCACTGCAGTGAAAGGCTGTTTGGTTTACAAGGGAGAAGAGAACAACCCCCAGATTTCATACTGGAGAGAACATGGAGCAAGTGCACTCACACCTTTACACGTTGAAGTAGTGCAAATAGGAAAACTGTAATATGTTATAAATGTCTGAATCAAGAGGGAATTTTTTTCAGTTGTTGGAACTTTAGCAGAATAGATTGGCTGTTTCAGTTTGGTCAAATTGTGTCTCACTTGAAGACAAAGTCTCTCCATATTCTTTTTTGTAAACTGGGATATCCTTTCTATGGACGCGAATGGACATGAAGCATAAGAAGTGAATGGAATCTGTGTGGATTTAGCTTGAATAGGCCCTAGATGGTGAAGTAGTGATGATTGCCTAGTATTTGATAAAAAGTTAAATTCCCAGTGTTATTAATTTCTATTAATAATCTATCTAATCTCTTTTGTTTCTGTATGAGAGCCAGAAGCTAAGGCAGACATGGGGATGGCTGAGTCTTTCCACTGAGAGATTCAGCTTTGAAAGTCATTATTTGGTCTAATTTTCCTGAATGGGTATTGGTTAAAAAACACTGCAAAACAAAAGAAGAATTCCATCCCAACAAAAATATAATCATATTTTTGAAGGGAAGGCGGACAAGAAATGCAGTAGTATTAAATTTCACTTGCATCCTGACCGCAGTCTGAGCAGATTAAAATTGGAGAGGACAGTTGCGTGTAATGTGGCATTGAACACTTGCTTGCAAGGTAGTCATCTCTGCACACCAAAGGATTTCTACAGAAGAATTCAGTGATATTTAATTAGGTGAAAAAAATAGGGAAACTTCACCATGAGGTGAGCAAAAATCTTTTGAAATGCATTGAAACAGTTTGCTATTTTCACAGAGTTACCCTGCCAGTCTTAATATGCAAAACTGCCACTGAATTCCAGATGGCAAGATACTGCCGCACAAGCTGGCTGTGCTGCATAAAGACAGTTTCACCCTGTTTGCAAATAGGCAGAATTAAAGTTGACCATTCAGCCTGAACTACTAGGATTTCCTGCATGAGTGCTTGGTTCCTGAAGCTTAACGCTGCAGTACAGTAGTGCAGCACTTTAGTATAATGTTTAATTGATGAATATGACTAGTCAATAATAAATATAAAAATAATTAACAATAAAGCAAATTTAGTGATAAATTTATTAAGCATATGCATATTCCTGTTGTTCAATATACACATTAAATATGCAAGTTATATAATTTGTATTACTGAGTAACCTTCTAAAACAACTGCATGACACTTTAATGGAAATTTGGTACCATTCAGGGCATTTCTGTGTGAGTGTAACAAAGCAGACATTTTAGAAATACCCTATTGCATTTTGTTTATCACAGTCTAGTTTCACAGTACAATATAAGCTTTTCAGCCTGTGAAATCCATTAATAACCACATTAAAACTTCCAATATTGTATGAATTGTCAGGTTTAAATGATTCTTTTTTAAAAACAATTATCTGTCTCTTGCTTCTTGCAGTTTGTTAAAATGCTATGTCAATTTACAAAGACTGGGAGAATCTGACAAAGAAATTTTAGAAGGGGAAGAATCTAATCATTGGTTTACCTAGCATGAGTGCTCAAGTGCACATGAAGAAAATGAACATTGATTCAAAATATAAATGAAAAATCATATTCCTGAGTGGAATTGCCAAAGTTTAACTTGAAAAACCTTTGCTTCTTGAGTTCTAAGGAAAGTAAAAACTGTTGGTAAACTTGTTAAATAGATTAAATATGATATTTATTAAGACAAATGACAATGTATGTATTTTAGAGGACTAGTTAGTACTTATGGAACGCAGATCTGCATTGAAATAGATGGGGAACAATGTTGTCTTCTGATAGTCTTTGAGGTGCAGCCTTGAAGTGTTTGTAATAAGACTGAGAATCCTGATGCAATGAACTCTTGTATCCTTTTGGTATAATGTTGTGCTTCTGCTACAAAGATACACTCCCTGGGTTAAATATTTTCCCCCTAATGCCTAAACTAAAATGAAGATGTAAATATGCTGTTCTGTGCTCCTAATCTTTAGTAACCTGCGGGGGCTGTGAGCCTATTATTTTTCCTTTTTTAGGTTATACAAGATGGAGACTCCATTCCTTCCCCTGCAATGTATGTAAATGCAGAGGGCAGTGAGGTCTAGCTCAGTGAATATAGATATTTCTACCTTAGCATCTTACTTCTGTGCCTGAGCAAAGAACTGATTTAATGCAAATCTGAAATGAACTGTGTGATGTTACAACTGGGTTAGGAGCCCATTGTGCTGGGTTCTGTATAAATACATAATAGCAGTCAGAAACTGTCCCAAAGTACTTTTAATAGTCAAGATAGAATGGAGATCATCACCGTTTTACAAGGGAAGACGTGAGGCATAGGGAGAACAGTCTAATTTCCAGGTATGCCTACAACTTTTGGACACCCAAATAAAAAGTGAAAAACATCTGAAATAGATGAGCAACTAACATAGAATAAGAATTAGAATTTTCTAAGAGGAGGCTTCTAAAACATGGGTTACCTTTGAAAATACAGCAATGAAGACTAGGGGCAGTTCCTAAAAAAAGTTTCGCAACAACATAAGGTTGATTACCTACCATCTCTAAAAAGTCAAGCCATAAGTGATTTATCCAACATCACAAAAGATGTCTCTTGAAGAAGCAAAGCCCCTTCACTGACGTTACAATCCTTTGCGTTATTTGCAGAAATACTTTCCTAGTTGTAAGAATAATCTGAACAGTTTAGAAGGAAATTTTTGGTGTTATAGAGATTCTCTGCCATCTGGCTGACTTTGTATTACTGTTCTGTTACTGGTAGTCTGGTTCCATCTTCTATGTAAAATTTACAGTAGTGAAAGATCTGACTTCCGACATTTTTAAGACAAAAAGAACCATAGAAGGACCAAACCCTAAAACTACAATATCCCTCACAAATGCACACACCATGTCATTTAGGAATCCCTATAATATTACGAAGCAATCTGCAGTAATACATCAATGACAGTACTAACAGAAGCATCCATCATGTTATTCATAATAGAATTTAAGGAGGGAATGTAAAGTATGTGACCTGTTGACTATATTGCTTTTCAGGTGTTCAAAGCTATGAATATTCCTCAGATCAGAAACCCTTCCTTACCTCCTCTAGAAGATATGCCTGGAGCCTATCATGTGAAGATAGCTCTTCTTGGTGCAGGACCTGCAAGTTTAAGTTGTGCTTCCTTTTTGGCTCGATTGGGCTATTCGAACATCACCATATTTGAAAAGCAGGAGTACCTTGGTGGCTTAAGGTAAAAAGCAATGACAACAAAGCACTGTTTCCAATGATTGTAGAAAGCATAACAAAAAATATTGTGCAAACATAGTTTATATACAATCCCTCTACCTTTATCAAAGGAGAACAATAGAAAATTTCAGATCTGAAAAACTTATTTTTTATTTAAATAGTTCATCATTCAAGTTAAAATAGGTACAATTACAAGCAAGTTTTAACTGAAAATCTGGTGGCTATCTCCTATATTCTCTTCATATGACCTCTAAAAGTCCAGTGTGCAATTGTTATTATCAAATTAACTGTTTAGAAAATTCTGTCAGGAACCGCTTTCCCTTATCCTAAACTTTTAAAACAAGGTGAAGTACTTGTAGCCCTACATAGTGAAAGAATTAGTGGATGTTTAAAATGCTTTAGACAGATACTAATTTTATAGAGAATTTTAAATTTAGAAAGCTTTCATGAACTACCTTATGCAAATAGAGGTGACAATGAATAAATCCACCATGTATGCCTGGACCTGCAGCTTTAGTAAACCATACCATAAGAGTGAAATAAACCCCGTGAAATTCTTAACCTTCAACAAATTGCAGATACACAAGGAAAGGTATCTTTGCGGTTTTCCTGTGTGGTAAACACTTGGCTGATATGTGCATGGTGTCATGTCCTCTACACTAGAAGATGAATTTTTACCACTGTAACAATGGCTGAGATCCTATCTTGTAAGTTTGTTGGAAACCCTAAGTATAAGATAAAATATTTCAGAAACTGACTAGTGGATACCAACCTATTCAAAATCAAAATTAAAAATAAATTAACAAAATAAAGAATGAAAAGAAACAAAGAGAGAAAGAAGGGTGATGCATTTGCATTTCTCATTGCAGCGTTACTGAAATCAATAGAGTTGACACCATTAATGAATTTGATCCATAATGTCAAATACTTATTTAGTGCTCTGGAAGATAGTGAATCAATGCTGGAGAAGTTGAACTGATTACTTGCATTTTTCCCAGTGAGGTTCAGAAGTATTCCACCTAAATATCAACCTGTGAATACATAAGCATTTAACTGTGGAGCTGTTTTACATGAACTGATTGCCACAGAGGATTGCAAATTTAGTATGTGAAATACCTATTCACCTGTTGAGAAGCACATGTTTTCATAAATACCAGATTTAAAATCAGTTTTGTTGCTGTAAAGTAGTAAGAAATAGTGAGATATTTCTAACAATGAAAGTTTGCCTGGTGGCAGGTTGGACTCAGCAATATAACACAGTACTTTCTGCGGTTGCTTACACTGCTTACAGTACAATGCTGCAGTTGCTTACACTGCTTACAGTACAATGCTGCAGTTGCTTACTGTGTGCTTGCATATTTGAAGCAATGTGATCTTAAGTTGCATCTGTTCTTCATGTTTTAAGTTAAATTTAAAATAAAGCTTTGTCTGTTGTTTGTTCTAGTGCAAAAAGCCTTACACAAAGTTTTGCCTTTTCTGTTAGTATCCTTAATGGTCAAGCAGTGTATTTTAAAATGTGTTTCTTTCTTTTGAGTCTTAAAGAACACATAGCAATCAAGGTCAAATTTTACTTCCATTCATTGTAGAAAATTTCACATCTGGTTTAAGGGCATCAGTTCCTTTTGTCTTTAGTTTAATCTTGGAACAGAAGGGAGGCTGGCCTGTGGCAGCAATCATCCATTATTGCATTTGTAAGTCTTTGCAGTACATCTTTTAACAAGTTTAGGTTATTGATGGGTGTGTTTTCAAGGCTTCATAAACTCTAGCAAATGGGTAATGAGACCAAATTAATTTTGTATTTGGAATCAGCTTTTTGGAATGGCAGTGCTAGTGTCATTTTTCAGTTTGCTCTTCCTTTTTTTAAGTGTTTTTAACTAGGATATTTCTTCACTTACATGTCACATCATGGCTAACTAATAATATTGTGACAATAGAAGGATGTCTATTGATTGCAGTTCCTGTGGTGTGATATTTAAGCATAGCATAGGTCTGTGGTTGTCTGAACATGTCTTAATTTTTCATATTCGTGAGCAGGTTTTCCTGCATTTCCTAATTTGTGTAAAATTTATGCTTTATAGTAGAGTAGGCATGAGCGGATCGTGCTCTTACTTAGAGACCGTGAACAAGCTTCACCGCTCGTGCTCCTAGCTATGCCACTGGTTTACAACATACCAAAATATTTCTCTTGCTAGGCCAAAGAGGTGTCCCTTGAGCAAAATTAATTTGGGATCACTGAGAAACACCAAGCACCTGTCCAAGCACCTCTAACTTGGATCAGATTTGCACAAGAAGTGAATTTGTGGGGCACTGTTCCCATCTACTACATCCCTCCTGCACCTCTGCCCCATTTCCTTCTCCCCCTGTCTCTCCATTGCAGAATCGGAGGCTGTCTTCTACTGCTGAAAGAACTTGTGTCAGAATGATTGATATATCAGTTGGCTTTCATAAAATGCTTATTTTCATGGTAAATGTGCATGCGCGTGTCCCCATAGAACTGTGTGTATTTGCATATAAACATATATGTACATATATGTGTATACTCCACAGCAAAAAAACTGTAAGCAAATGTTTAATAAGAGCAAAGAATTGTTTACAAATTCTGACAGTGACATAATAACCAGTGCTGTTCTGGGAGCATGTTATGGAAATGACAGGCATTCAATAGGTGGCTTGGAAAATAGAACTTTCCTTTTTTTATTAGATTTCTTTGTGGAATCTCTGTTGCAGAATCATATTGATACATTAGTTTCTGCCTCAGACACCTTTTTACTTAGCATGACCTATGAAAGTTGTATTGTCATGACACGTTCATTATATCTGATATTTAGAAGACTTTTCATTGCATGCTGGTCAGGAAAGGTGAAAAAAGGGCAGTATTAGAAATGATAAGGAGGAACACCAGTTTCTTAGCAATATAATTAAAGATGATGCAACTTAAAATAAATAAAATCCTTCTGGACTGTCAAAGTTAGATGCTAAAGATGGTGTGGTCACTAACAATATGTAAAATAAAGCCACAGTGAATCTCCTGTGCCAGTGCTTTGTTGTGGAAATTGTAGCTCCATTAATTTGAAAACAGATTAGACTGACTGAAGCTTAGAAATATCTGAGGAGAGACTTCAACTTTTCTGCATATTCATTTTTTTAATCTTCATTGAACAGAAGTATTTAAGATAGAACTTCGCTATGTTTACCTGTAATGTGTTTTATGGCAGAGATTTTGAACTGGCATAAGCAGATGTCATTTCATTGGCGATAAAGATCTGTACCAGTAGATATAAACTGAGATTCTATGCTGATACTTTAGTTTTCCCATACAGGAGATCTGTGATTCTAGGAACTTGAAGATGTCATTCCTAATCTTCCCCAAGAGGAAAAAATGCCAGCTAATAAACATTAAGTCAAAAAACAGACTTGAGACCAAGAGCTGATAGAAAATTACTGACTTTGTCCATCCTGAAAGATCATAAAAAAATGTATGAGGTAGAAATGGAGGAGGGTACAGTTTTAAATAGCATTTCTCAAAATAACATATGCACCACTTTTTAAAAAAAAGTATGGGAAATTTGATTCTTTCTTGTTGGATAGCTTAATGAATGATTACTAGAAGATCAGTTTGCTTTTAGTAGCCATGAGATCTTTTCTTAAATGGATGTCTTAAGTTTGCTTAGTGTTACATGTTCTGGTGAACAAAAGGAACAGAGCTGAAACTCTTTTGGACCCAAGCTTAATGTATGTTAAATGGTTACCTACAAGTGTGGGCAGGATTGACCTCAAGGTACTGCCTTCCTGGCCTATATTTTTAGCATTGGGTGAATAATGCTGTTTTGTCACTCTAACAGTTTAAAAAAAACAACAGTCAAGCTTCAGCACATTTCCATTCACATATGTCAAAATTAACTAAGGTGAGTTATAAGTATTGAATTTTTCACAGATAAAATATTCCTTTCTTTCTAATAACTGGAAGTATTTCACAAGCATTTTTATTTATTTTAGTACCTCTGAAATCCCCCAGTTCCGGTTGCCATATGATGTAGTGAATTTTGAAGCTGAGCTTATGAAGGATCTTGGAGTGAAGGTAATGAAAAATATATCCTGCCTATGTATAGCTCAAAGAAAAAAGAACAAGAACTCTGCCAAAGATTAACAACAAAATGTCATGCACATTAGTAAAGAACGTTTAAAAGCTATGCTAGACAGAGGCAGGAAGATGCTTCCTCTTGCTCAGGGCATTTGTCTGTCTCCTGTCTGAATGCCACTGGTTTGGAAAAGGGCAATCAATAGTTCTCATCTGGCATGCCTGCATGTGATTAATTGTCTGTAAGAAACAAATTCCTAAATTGCTTTAGGGGTTCAATGTAGCTATTGGAATGATTTGATTTTTTTAATCGAGTTTTTTTCATGCAAGTTTGGCGCTACTTAAAACATTCATATTTGATGCTTCTCCTTTCGTTCCCTCTCCCTGAGTTTTTTCTTAATGGTTTATCACACAGTCTTGCATCCAAATTAATTCTGTAATAAAATGCATCAAATTAAACAAAGTGTTAACATGATCATCTATTATAAACAGTAACAGTCATTCAACTTCTAGGAAAATAATAGTTACACACTATTCTGTTAAACAAATCTGCGTTGTTTATAGATAATGGGAACATTATTGTTAATATAGGGCTTGAGCTGAAGATTTGGATAGTATTTACAACTGCTGCACATTTTAATAGAAGTTACAAATGTAGAATGCATCACTGGATCAAATTTTTGAGTACCAGGAGGGATAATATATTTTTAACATGATAGTGAAGTGTTCAGTGAAGCAAGAAATTCTTCTTGGAATCTTTCATGTTGGTTCATATCGTAAAAGCAATAGACTGTTGTCACAAGACCCAAGTGATAACCTCATTCTGCCCAGGTTTTATAAAAATGCTGGTGAGATGTAAGATAAGGCTTTAATGCTACAGGTCTGTTTTTCTACTCTAAAGATCCCTTTGCAACCCTTGAAAAGACTGACAGAATGGAAGTTGAGTTAGGGATGGGACTAAAAACAGAGCACTGAGACAATTTTAGACAAAATTGCTGGGTATAAGCTCCTAGGAACCCTCTGCAAAACTCAGTTCCCCAGGTCTCCTTGTTGTGACAAGATCTCCAGAATGGACTGATAGAGCCACCATGTCATCTTGACCTGCACGTCCTCTGTGATTTTAAAGTGCAGCAGAGAATCTCAATGTAAATTTGCTTCCAAGCTCTGCCATTGGTTTACAATTGACCCTTTGGCAAGCTGGTTAACTAAGTACCTTAGCTTTATACCTCTATAAGCTGGAAATATTTTCTGGTGTTTACTTAAAGCATTTCAAATCTGTGGTGGAAGTGCTGTATTGTGTAAATGCTCAGTAGTGCTGTTTATTCAAGTAATTCTACTGAAATTAGTAAGAATTAGTCAGCTGAATAAGGATTATAGAGCTGGGCCCTAGGAGTATTATGAATCCCCACATAAAATAGTATTGCCATTTAAATTCCTTCATTAGGTTTTCATAACATATGTACACAATAGGATCAAAAATGTAATGACAATTTATGGAATGTATTTTGTTGCCAGTAAGGTTGTAGTCTGTATTCTTGAAAGGATTACAACTATACGGGGTTTTTGCACCTCTGATAAAATTTATACTAAATCTCCAAAGACCAAGAAGTTGGTGTTTTAAGTATTGTACACTGTATTTTGCATCTGCCTTTTTTTTTCAGCAATAGGAAAAGTATATTAAATGGAATATAGGCAGATACAATAACAAACAAGTTATACAATGACATACAGACTAAACTGTTAAGATCACAAAGTATAATGCTTACACAATAAAGCACAACATTTTGTAAAGGGAATACACAAATGATATAACAAAAGCTGGGGGAAAACATTCGCATTCAGAGAGTCTAAAGTACAGAGATAAAAACACACACGCCCGTGTCAAGAAGTACAAAATATCAGAAGAGGAATCACACACACTTTATGTGCTCAAAAGCCTTGGGGTTAGGAGTGATGAGTAAAAGGTGTGTGTATCTTCGATTGCATGACCTCTACACAGAAGAATGCTGTAGTTGGTTTGCTGAACATACAGCAAACACTCTTCTCCCTCTTGCTCATAAAACGACTGTAGTTTCTCAATCTGGAATGGCTGCTCAAAGCAGGATTGCTGGTGGAACATTACAAATTTTTCATCTTTTACTTCTCGAAGTGAATGGTAGTTGAACTGAAACAAGTATAGATTGTAGGTGCATTTTTATTATTGTGACATTTCTTTCAATAAATGAACAGCAATCACTGTACTCTGGGCATTTTCCTTGTCTAAATTAGAATTAACAATTGCAAGCTTAAATCAAAACTGATCTTATTCATAATTTTGAAAACCTCTGTTAGTTTACCAGGCAGAACAATCTGCTTCATTACGAGCAAGTAGGAGACTCTGTAACTTGCACAGAACGTTCTTCAGACTTACCACCATCTCTGGCCCAGTCTTTTGCAGGCAGGTTTTCTGAATCCACAAAAACACCATTGGCTTCACTGCGGGTTTTTGGCATAAATGTGTTCTAGCTACTGGTCTCAGTGCAAAATTCAGGCTGTGAGCTTTGAGAGTGCAGCACAAAGCAATACCATCCTTACTTCGGGACTGGCATTACATTCTGCGCAGTTGGAGGTCTACCAAGTGCCTGATACTGTGTGGGAAAGTATTGCTTGGTTTTCTGTTCAGAGCCCCTGTTAATACAGAATAGTATCATGTCTTTTCTTTATTTCTCTGTAAGAGGCTCATACTTTCACTAATGTTTCTGCGATAACCTGAACTGCTTGTTTTTCGTTTGGTGTGCTAGGTGATCTGCTTAGTGCATATCCTCTAAAGGAGATTTTTGCTTCCATGTCATGTTTCTTACATTCTGATTTTCACTTGGGAATACAACTTTTTCTAGTCAGCACTGAATACAGTGACTTTCTTGCAGTAAACTGCCATTTTCAGCTTTACTTCAGAATTGTGTTCTATATACAGGCTTTGTTTGCTTGTTTAGCTTGCTTTAACTTTTAGCTTACAGCAGAAACAAAGCTAGCCTGTGGTGGCCTCCATCTGAGGATGATCTTGAAGGTATCTTTTACCCATATTTAGTTTGGGCCACTTGCTTGAATCAGAGCCAATCTGGCCTTTTAAGTCTGGCTTGAGGGGAAAAAAAAATAATTTGCTTTGTTCAGTAGAAGATCCTGTGAGATGTCTGTATGCAGGACACGATAGAAATTATTTTCACATTATCACATTAAAAGCAAGTAATCTTAAATTCTTTCAGATAATTTTTAGTAAAGGCCTTGGAATGGATGGAATGACACTTCGTACCTTGAAAGAAGATGGCTATGAAGCAGTATTTATTGGAATAGGTAAGAAGAGCTCACTGTTCTGTGTTTTGTCATCTTGAAATTGAATGACTAAGGATAAACTGGGACTTGTAGCTGTGTTAATAGCATGATGTGAGACAGCTTGAATTTGATGCATTATGAAAGTATGGAATATAAGGAAAATTAAAAACCCAGAAAGCTAAAGCTAGCTGTGTTAAGACCATTATTTCTTAAAATTTTCACATTTATATGATAGATTTTTAAGTAAGATGAGAATGTAGCTGAATGGGTTGATTTATTTTTTGTTTAAATAGTTAAAAATGGATGAACTTAAAACTTACTCGTAATTAATTGCTGTATTGGCCTAAGCGATACACAAGTTCAATTTTCGCGAACAGCTTACTATACCCACATAATAATTGAGTCTATATGTAAGCCAGTGATATCATGCTTCGTTGCTTTTTTCTTTCCTCCGTATAAAAGATGTAACATCCTTCAGATAGACTGTAGTGAAATGTAATTATGGGACAAGTTAACAAAATAAGCTGACTTTGGCTTCTGCTAAAACTGGCATCATAGATCTGTCTTCTCTCATGCTAAAGAAGTACTGCACATGCCTGCTATTTGAGTCATTGCTTGTTTTTAATGTTACATTAGAATTGTTATCCATTTACAAGTATTTTGAAGTACAGCTGGACCCATCGATACCATATGATAGGCATGTTGAGCAGGCATCGTCTACAGTTGGTATGAAGCTTAATGCTCTTTATTGATCTAGACGTTGCCTAAGTGAACATAATAGGAAACAAGTTGTCCAACTGTTCCTCCTTCCTATTATTGATTACAGAGATGTAATTCTTAGTACAGCGACAACTGTTGTTTACCATCTGGTTATGCAGTATAATAAGCTTTGCAGGTCTATTCTGTCATGCGATTGTAGTACAGAGCGTTGTGATTTATATAATCCTAAATCCTCACATTATTAGAGACCATGTATAACAATTCTGTTGTGTCATATTTTGATGTAACTGTATACAAGGCAAAGGTCCAACTTATCTTGTCTGTTGTTTTCATCTGTGTCTTTCAAACTGCTTTGTGAACTCTCACCAATGAAGGATTAATTAATAAATAAACCTTTGTTTTTTGAGAGTCTAGCATTTAGGAAAAAATTATCAGTCATTTTTGGAATATCAACATGATTCCCCTGCATTTCTGACTTGGAAATTTAAAATAACAGTTCAGTTAAAGGTTAGCAAAAGTGACTATTAAAGCACTACACATAGGGTTGGAATGTTTCTTTTACATATGCGGGCTTATTTTCTGACCTTAATAAAGTTATCCTAAAATAAAATATTTTTGGTTAGAAGTATATATAGACAACGTTGTGCCATACAGATGCTAGGTAAAGGGACATAGCCAGAATTTTAATGGACAAGAGAAGGTATCTGAAGTATTCTCCTGTAAACCATGTGTTCACTGATTGTATTAGGAATCAGAGGGTATAAATGCTAATGAAGGATTATGTGTTCCTACAAAGTTTTGTTATTGGAAGCTACTCTACATTCATGATGAAGTTGATCCCTCTCTGTACTCCCATGTCTGCCTGTCATCTCTCTCTTATAGTACTGTGTAAGACAGTGGACAGTAATATGCCCTTGCATACTGGTGGTGAAAGATAGAGGACAAACGAAGGGGTTACAGATTTCTAGGGTTAGCTATATTAATGCAATAGAGCATTTATAAACTCTCAACAACAGCAGTTTTTCCATAGTGAGTCTGTACTGTATTTCTTTCTGTGTTCTTTGCCTACTGAACAAACATATTAAATGAAAGGTCACATTTGAACATTACCCTGAATCATGGGAGTAAAATAATTAGAGAACACTACTTACAGAAAATGGAAGTGTTGGGTTTTTTTTTTTAATGTGGTTGTAAACTGCTTCTGAATGAATCTGTACCTTGATGGAAAATAAACGTCATAGTTTTCAATTTTCTCTAGTAGTGGAAAAAAGAAAAAGTGAATGGGTGTGTAAAAGAAAATGAAGTCCCTGATGGGATGAGGGAGTATACTGTGAGAGGAGTTTTTCATAGCAATGTGATTTTTGTAAAGCACACCTTTGGTCTTACAAATGAGATGTAACTCAAGAATTTGTCAGTCAGGATTGTACAAGAGTCCATGCGTGATTCATGAAATGGAAGAGCACTTGTAAATAGCCAGCTACCTGAGGACAGATGGTGAGGCAGAGAGAACTTTGAAAGCTATTTTCCACACAGTTATGCATCAGGAAAAATCTATTGCTCTGTGGGAATGTCACGTGAGGTAGGGAGAGTACACTCCTCAGCTGGGTCTATGGAAGGTAAAGCATAGGTGACCGAGATTTGATCACCTCTAGCAAGTGACCATGTTGAAGAAAAATGAATAGCAAAGGCTTTTTGTGAGAGCTGTTTGGAAAGTATAAAAAACATGCTCTAGTTAATATATTTGCTCTGTTTCAGACCTGAAGGGTAACGAGTTCCTAAGAAGTTCACAAAAGGATACAGGTTAACAGCCTTACTCTAAAATAAATTATAGTAAAAAAAAGATGCTTAGGTTCAAGTCTTTACTTACTGAGGCATTGAGACTATGATGGTTTATCTTAAGGTGAAAGACTCTCTCCAGCCAGTAGGTCTGGTGCATTTAAGTCACTATTTAAAGCTCAGAAAAACACCTTGTATTAGATATGAAAACAAAAAAATAGCCAGTAGGTCACTAACATTTGTCAACTTCTGGGGTCTCAGTTTGAGTCACAGATTACCTCTGTACTATTTTGTTTTGTACCATCTTATCTTTCCCAATTAGGCTGTGACTGCGTGTGTAACGTTGTAGAGACTGATGTGGAATTTGGGGTTACAAAGGCGTATGTTGAACTAGCAAAAACTAGATCCAAGGAAAAGCTTTCATAGTTACCTGGGTAAGCGGTAATGAAAGAGATCAATCTGGGCAATGGCATACTGGAAGCCAGCACTGCCTTCTGACAGCAGAACCTCAGAGCAAATGGTAGGTAAATCTCAGTCACAGGATTCCCTGTTACCTTTTTTGCTTTTGGTAATTCCTTCAGTCTCCTGGGTTTTGCATTATGTGAACTGTGTTTCATCCAACTAGTTCTTAATGCTGTACTCCTTATTTCTAGAGGATCAATATGTGAATTGCCTCTTCCCTGTCCATCGTTTACTCATGTGTCCTCTCAGTTTCTTCTCTAAAGAGTTGTATATTTTGCAACATACGGCAGCAGACATGTTTTGCGTACAAGGACCTAAGAGATAGACCATTTTTCTGTTTTTCTCCAGCAGACCTGATTTCAGATTACGCTAACATAAGTCTTAAAGGGTAGTCCATGAATCTCAGTTTCTTACATCAAAAGGAATCATAGACAATAGCACACATGAGAATTTTTTCACAGGACTAAAAGGCAGCAGCCAAACAAAGGGAGGAACAACTTGTTAAATGTATTCTGTGAGTCTCTACTATGTTTTTTTAGTTCTCTTTTCATTGTAATTTAGTTCGCAATTTCTAAACTTATTCAGTCTGATTTCAACGGGCAATTAAAAATGCCGGTTAAGAATTAGTGATGTAGAATTAGAGTCCTTAAAATTTTCATTTTAAAATTCTGTTTATCTTCCAGTTACAAATCTTTTGGGTTTATTTTGTTATTCTCAAACATTAAATTAACAGAACAGAACACAAACAGAATTAAATCTCCCAATTGAACTTTCAAAGTTTTAAAACTAACCTCTAAAACCATGCGTAGAAAAAAACTTTCATTTCCAGATTTGATAGATTACACTGAACTTACTCTACCTAGAATCAGCTCCGCTTTTTGATAAAAAATGTTTGCGAAGAATTTGTGACTTAGCTGACAAATCAGTTTGAAAATTTTGCTATTAAAAAAAAAAAAGTCTTCCATCAGTTGCTGCCTTCTGTAAACACCACAGAGACTGAGGGCAGTAGAGAATCGGCATGCTGAGAGTGAAAGGAGAAATCAATGATGGGGTGAGGGTCTAGAGGAGAGAGCACATGGTCCTCAGAGACAGCAAAGTAAGGCAGCAAAGGGTATCTTATGGAGAACAGAGTAGTCAGAATGCTTTGTGTTACTGTGTCTCTTGGTTGATTTCCAGGGTAGAATACATACGATTTTTACAAAAAATGTCTTATGTGAATGTGTCTTGCTTGGCTATCAGAGCAAATGCAGAAATACTAGACTTTTATTACTCATCCTTCTTGAAGTTCAGCTACTTTCTTTGGAAAACAGGATTTTGTGGTTCTGTCTTTTAAGACTCCACAAAGCATTGTATATTCTTTTTGAAAGAGAAAAAACACATTTTTTTTAATACAGCTATTTAGTTGAATTAAGATAAATGACCTAAATATTTAAAGTATTTAAGGACGTCTCATGTGATGTTCAGATGAATATATAGAAAGGCTATCACCATAAACATATTTTCTGCAGACTTTTACACAAACCTCTATCCTTATTCTGTAAAGTTTTATCATAACATAGGGGCTTTGTATACCATTTACATTCTCTTTATATAAAGATCAGATAAAAATGTGTCTTCAAAGATTGTTTTATTTGATAAAATATTAAAAAAAAAAAATCTTAAGCCCCTGTTCCCTGAAATTGCTTGAACACTTTTAAATTTAGTGTCTGTAGGCTTAAACTTGCAGCACTAACTAACTTTCTAGTTAACTTCTCATTACAGGGGAAATGCAGCTAGTAATGAAGCTTTCTTGTTTATTCCTCCATCTTGTGAAGCTGAATTGCTATAAAGTAATTTTTATTGTATTAGGGTATTCAGAGGTTCTATTAAATACTGCAAAATGGTGGGTTAGATGAGCATACAGAGTAAATCTAAGCAGATTGTTGCTTCGATGTACCCTAAATAGTATATCCTGCTTGCAAGGGTTAAAACTGTACATAAAAAAGAAAAAAAAAATCTCTTGTGGAAAGAACCTTTGTGATAATTGCAGTCATTCATAGTTAATTAACATAGCATTCAAACAATAATATTAATCAGATGATTCCATTGAGTGGAATGAAATTACATACCAAAAAAAGAAATTACAAGTCCAAGCATTGATGTACCTTGGTTTTTTAAAAAAACAAACCTGTGAGATTGATTTACTGTCTCTTCCCCAAAAAGTAAGTAATCGCCTCATGCCTGTTATTATCTTCTGATTAACTATGCAGTGCCACCTGGTGTGCAGATGGGAAGAATATTACACATCAAGAGCTCTGTTCACACCCACCCACACAGATATAAACCTACGTGGCAAAAAGTGAACAGATGTTCATTTTGCTTGTGCTATAGGAAAAAATTGTGCATCGTACTCCTGATTCATAAACTAAATTTGGAGGACATGAAATCTGCATATGGGGCCCGTAGGCCCATGGCCAGCACAGGCATTTATGGAGGAAATATGTCATATTCAAAATCGTTCTCATTTCAGGTTGTGAACAGACTTTTATTTGTTTGCTTCTCTATTTTTTTTTACCTTGTATTTCTGAGTTTTCTTTTTCTCTTCACTTGCTATTTCACTTATCACCTCCAAAGGGAAAGTTTAAAGGCAGAGTCATTTGAAAACATATCCAGGATTGATCTGTTGGTTGGTTGTTTTTCACAATTGTTTTCTGTTTCTTAGCATTTAAGATGTTCCCTAATATTATGCTTTTAGGCCTCTTTGCGAAGACCTGTTTTGCTCAGCAGTAATGTGGCAAGTCATGTAAAATACAATGCATCTTGGTTAAAGATGGAACTGTAGTACAAGCATTGCACAGCCTTAGACTCTTAGGATCATCAACTCTATTTTTTGAAGTTTTTCGGTGTTGTTTTATATTATTTTATAATTTCATAAATATTTTGACACTTCATAGATGATACAGTTTTTGCTGTAAAGAAGCCAAAGCCTAAAGACCAGATAAAACACAACAAGCAGGGGAGAAAAATAGTATCTTGGAAGGTAGTGCAGGAAAGAATGATGTTGTTGGACACATGATCAACTAGATACTCAAGTATGTACCTAGCTTAGTTTCTGGGTTGGTTTTATTGACTCTTGTAGACAAGGGTTTTCACTGTCTTCAGAATCTTGCAAAGACGATGCCTTTCACCCAGAATTTTAAATGTTGACAACAGTAGCCTTTCAGGCATCAGTGTCCTTATGCAGTAAAAGATAATACAGGCTGCAGAGCCAGAGAAAACTCTTGGAGTTACATTTTATTGTAACAAAACAAAATATTCAAATCCATTTAGTTGAGAAAAGCTGTGAGACTTTGATATTAGAGATACTGAGGATGAAGTCATCAAATGAGTCATGAAGTCAGAGAGAATACTTTGGACAGTTTGAAGAGCAACAATGATGAAGAGCAGTGGCAGGATTTGGACAAAGGCACATCAAAATATTTCACAATTGCCTTACAGTAACCTGAATAATCTTAGAATTAAATTTAAAAAGGTTTTTTTTTAAAAAATAAAATCCATGAGAAAGCCAGTGATAGGTGCATTTGCTATTTAGTACAGAATGGAATCAAAACTGCACATTGAACTGCAACTGCGTGAAATGAAGTCCCAAGGAAGAAGGTCTACACAAGTCTGTGCAGTCAAGTATAGGACTTCATAGTTTACCTACTGGAGAGCCTTAGCTCATGACTCACAGCTTGGGGAATGAACACACCCTTCTATAACACCATGTTTCTTAATCTTTTCATGTCTCATTGCATGCTTACAGCAGATGTATGAACTTGCTTTTTTTTGTAGTGCAACATCTTTCCTGGAGACCAACAATGTACATACATCCAAGAATTTTTATGCTTGAGGCATCTTTTTTCTACTATTGGCATTTGTAGTAAGCTATTCTTCCAGCTCTGTTATCCTCACTACTGCTCTGGATATTGGTGGAACATTCCTAATACACATCGGAAGCAGTAGGCAATTGAAAGCTTTTAGGGCTCAGATGCACAAAATGGCTTATTTATTAATAGTCTTAGGACACTTTCAGAAAATACCAATAATCTGCCCTTGGGCATCCTTAAATTATTCACTTGCAAATTACACAGATTTTCATGCTCTTATTTACTTATCTTTCCTACCAAAAAACTACTTAGCATAACAATCTCTACTGCACATGTTTTACAAAACAGTCTCCTGTCCGTTTCCAAGATACTGGACAGTTTCCCTGAAGAAATACTAATCTAAATATAATGACAGAATCAATTTGATTCATATTGTTTTAAAAGTAGTTAAATTTTTTCATTCTTAGCAGATTAATTCATCTAACATTACTTAGCATTTTTTGGGAGTTTATTCAAGCATTTATTTTTAAGCATTTTGGTGTTTGAGAAGTACATAGGAAAATACTTAACAAAATGGTGATGTTAGAGACTGCATTTTCATATTGTGATGTTACACACATCAGTGCTTTACATCTAAAGAAAAGAACTTTGCTTGCTTACCTGTTGTTTCCGAAAGTTCATGAGTCAGTTACATTTATCTTTTAGATATACAAGTATTAATTATGCTGCCAACTTTTTACTTCCACGTTAATATTCAGGCACAGAATAAACAACCATTTAAAATGCAGCTGGTAAGCTGGTGTATATCTGTTTAGTTTAGTTGAGCTCTCCTTGTAAGGAGAGCACACGTGGTCCAATATGTATTTTAATGCAATCAGACACTTTTTGAAATATTGTTCTACCTAATACTATAGGAGGATGGACACAATACAAAATTTAAACAGTAGGTTTAGAAATTCCATACTTTCCTTCGTCTTGCTTATGAAGGGTAAAAGGCTGGTTAAAAACCTAGGCTTGTTGCATTTAATTTTTTTTATTTTTAAAGATGGTACAGAAGTAGGAAGCATATCAAAATCTCACTTATTTAGTGCCAATTATTGGTGAGAAGATGGCAAG